CCCTGGCCGGGGATGGAACTCGCGCTGCAGCGGCCGCGACGGCTTCACAGTGCTGAGACTCAGCCGGCCGTGCGACCAAGGGGCCCTGACAGGGGTTCTCATTTCATCGCGCCATGTTGTCCCTTTTCCCGTGCCGGGAAGGCCTTGAAGACGCCGCCTTGCAACACGCGCAGGGCGGAGCTGGCTCTTCCTACTGCAACTTCATCAGCCCGCGGAGGGCGCCCCTCCATCACAGCACACCCCAGCGCCTCTGCCCCCGGGCGTCCCCAGGCAGTTCCAGCATGGGGTACTGGTACTTCCCCCATCTCGGCTACGTAATGACTCCCCCAGCAGGATCCTGTGTCTCCTGAGAACCCGGCCCCTTCGGGCGCAGCCTCACCCACACTGCCCAGTCTGGGGCCCAGGCAGCGCCCCCACAGGAGCCCCCACAGGGAGCACAGTCCTGGGGCTCAGTGCTGTGCCCTCACCCGCATGGCATGGCGGCGCCTCCCACCCTCTGAGTCAGCTCCCCAGCAAACTTCCCTTCGCCATCCCGCCTCGTCCCTCTCTGTGCTCGCCTACCCCAACGCGCCTCCAGCTCGTCCCTAATTTCCTACTGGGTTCACAGCAAAGCTCCTTCTGCCCCCCGGCTTCCAGGGCAAAGGTCTTGCCCAGAGCTTCTCACTACTTTCAGTGCAGAGCGCGCGCCACAATATTGTGTTCCTCCTTTCCAGTTAAACACCCCTCGTTGTCCGATTACTGTCTCTCCCCTGTCACTCCCATATGGGCTCCTCATGCCATCGCTCAGAGCATAAGACTTCCTCCAGATCACCCACGATGTGGTCCGTGTGCGGGGATCCCTCCGCCTTCCACCCTCCCAGATGTCACCTAACGCTAGGGGCAGGGTGTCTCAGCGTCACATTGCAATGTTCCAACAAAAATTTCCTCTTGTCATTTCTCAGGTCTCTCAAGCAGGGATTTTTCTTTTTTTAAGACTTATTTATTTTTATGCACACAGGCCACAGGTGCAGGGAGGGGTGCGGGGGGAGGAGTCACCAGAGACCATGGGCAGCAGAAGAGGCAGGCTGACTGAAATGCCCTGCTGAGGGGGCAGCGGTCTGCTGCGTCCTGGGGGTCCCTCCCTGGTGGTGGGGGGGTCAAACTGGTGCTGCAGCAGCTGCAGACAGCTTCATAGTGATGGGCTTTAACTCCCTGCGCCAGGGAGGGCCTCAAGCAGGGATTCTTAACCCTTTCTTGCCAGAATGCCATAATAAAGCCCAGGAATTCCTCTTCAAGATAATGCTTTTAGGTGTATAACATAAAACACCTAGGACTACATTAAAAGTCAACTATATTAAAATATAGTGATCGGGGCCCTTCCTGGTGGCACAATGGGTTGAAGCGGAGCACTGTGAAGCTGCCCACAGCCACTGCAGCACGAGTTCGATCCCCGGGGAGGGAGGGACCCACATGGTGTGGCAGACTTCACCTGTCTCGTCTGCTGCCCCTCACCACAATATTTCAGTCAATCTGCCTCTTCTGTTCCCCATTGTCTCTGGTGAATCCTCTCACCCACCCACACACCACCCCCTCTGCCCTGGCACCTCTGCCTGTACCCCAGTTCTCGTATGCATAAATTAAATCTTTAAAAAAATAGTGATCAAATATTTTTAATAAATATATGATATAACGACTCGATTTATTTATTAAAGATGAACCCAAGAAAATAAATTTATATAAAAATCTGATTTCCATGGAATTGAATGGAGCATTAAAAATCATCGAACACAAACTTTCATGTTACAGATGAGACAACTCACGTCTAGAGAAGTTTACGACTTTGAATCTTTCAGTGGCCTAACCCTACCAAGCCCATCATCAAATACAATCAGCATTTCCCAAACTGAAAGCAACTTGGCCCAGTGCACAGATGGTGGCAAAGCCAAGCCCACACCCAGCCCACGCGTCATGACTCCCCATTAAGTGTCCTCCAGTCACCCTGAGTTAGGGCAGTGCTTGTCCTTTTTGTGTGTATCAATGGGGAAATTGCTCTCAATATATGCTCTTCCTCAAATTTTTGCGAAAACGTGCTCTGGAGCAGCACGGCTTCCAAGCAGAATCTCACTCCTGTTTCTAATAGCAGAAGCCTCCGCTTCCAAGTCCCGTAATTATTTTCTGGTTTTCTCTCACAAGTAAATATCGTATCTTGACAGCCACACTGGATACCTACTCAGAAATTAATTGGTGGTCATCTAAAATGTTCTCTAGCTTTTAGCAATCTGTATTCAAGTATCATATTGCTGGGCAGCTTCCCTGGCCTCCTGGGCATGATTTTATTATTAATGCCAACATTAATTCAGAATGTAACAATCTTTTTCTGTTTAAGTAATGGTCATTCACTGCTACCTTCAATCTATTTCCTCATCTTCTACATAATCTCAACTACAAATGTTTCCGTCACCATGCTCAAAACTGGCCTTATCTTTCATCAGCCACTCACTGTAACTTTATCATCCATCTGACAATTATATGTGGAATATTTGCCATCCCCCGCTTCCTAAGTGTTTATTTTCAGGCAATCCAACTCTCTTCTCTCTGAATGAAACATTTGCTCTAGACATTGCCAAATTTAAAGTTGTGCTTTCGCCAAATGGACAGCTCTTTCGTCATCCCTCCCGGCACGTGGCGTTCTCTTCACCCATCTTCGTGACATGTATTTGTGGCACGTCTTCACGTTCACTTCAGTTGCTGTCAGACCTCACACATACCATCAACACAAGATCATCTCTGCCCATTCCATTCAAAGCAGATTCTCTTTTTTTCCTGTCACTTAGAGATTCCTGCTCTTCTCTCCATCAAGGACTTCACTATCCACCCAGACTCAAGTTCCTTTTCCCTCCCCATTTTCACATGGTTCTGCTCCTACAGCTCTCCAAATCTGTTACGTGGACGGTTACCACTGGCCACATGAGAGGAGGGACCCCCTGAAGGGTGGGTAGTCTGAGCTGAATGTGCTGGAGTGTAAAATACACCCACGATCTAGAAGACTAAGCACACACAAGAATACATTTCATTAAATTTTTTATATTAATTTGGAAATATTTTTGGACATTTGATTAAATTAATGCAATTAAATTAATTGCATCTGTTTCTTTACTTTTTTTATGCGGCTATTTAAAAAAGTTCAGATTATATAAATGGCTTGCCAGACAGCACTACCCTGGGCTCTGCTACTGATTCACACTTTTAAATCTTCCCTACCAATTCTAACTTCTTTCTTCTTACCACTGCTACTGAGACACCTTCTCCAGTTACCCCCTCTGGCCCTCACACTCCATATCTAGAATTTTTTTCAACCTACTGTTTCACCTTTTCTGCCCTGTTTCTTCCGTACCCAGGATTTCTGTTTGCCCACTAATACAGCTTCTATTATACCACGCTAGTGCAATAGAGCCATATGATAAAGTTCTGTTTTCTTCATTATCTCTAGCAGAGTGGTGGTATCTTAGCTCCCATCAAAATTAAAAACAAAACAAAAACTTGATATTCCCAACAAAAAGAACTTCATTCACTATCCAAATCGGTTCATCTTTCCTATCATTTCACTTTGAAAGGAAAATTACTGTAAAGCACAAAGCAATGAATATGAATAACTTCCGAGCAATGCCACCCGTCCATCCAGGGCGGCACCTCCTCCTCTGGCATTTCAACGATAGCTTCTGTCTTCAGGCTCTGCTAGTGCAGGCCTCGACCCGCTACTTGCAGCAGAGACCTCTCATTTCGCACGGAGCGCTCTAACACAGCTCCCAAAATGGAGTCTTCATTCCCCGCCCTTTCCAGCCTGGACTATGTGTTATCACTGCCCAAGCTGATTTTATGTCTAACATTTCTGGAATGATTATTTTTTCTTGCTTCAACTACTTCAGTGGGAAAAAAACCAAGACTGGGAATTTAGGCATGAGTGGCTGGTGAAGAGGAGTTGGGAAAGTGATAAGGAGGGACAGTCACAGGTAAGATCTCTGACTCATCATCCTCTCCTCCACCCCCTGAAATCTATTGCTCTGCCGTGGTAGCCCCACGGTAAACCCTTTCTATGTATCTCTTCACTTCATGATCACCTTCACTCCAGCATCTCTGGAAATTCTTTCCTTAAGGCCTCCTTCCCATCATTCTTGACAAAGAAATTCCTATCTTTACTGCAAGAGCAATGCAGGCCTCTCTCTCTCTCTCTCTCTCTCTCTGCTCCCAATTTAAAGACATCTACTTCATTCTATAGTTTCCCATCATTCCCAGTATGGAAAAAAGTAAAGACAAAAAATCTCTCCTGGTATTGAAACTTTTCCATTTCCTACTAGTATATTTATTAAGCTCTATCCCAATCCTCTCAAGACTGAATTCTTTCGCGCGCGCACACACACACACTTCTGTGTCAGAGATATTTCCTTTAGCCCAGGCTAGAAATGTCTCTTCCAGTAGACAACTCTCCTTCCCTGCAGTTTCTTTTTGCATAGTCCAGTAATACAGCTCATTTCTTGGTTCCTCCCTTTATTCTCTCTTCAATATCATCTCGTACAGTCAATATTCTGCTTCAGAAAAACCCATCACATATAAGTCACAGTGAGATCCGCAGCTAACCTGAAGGGCAGGGCAAGTGCTTGTTTCTCATGGATTGGCCGTATTACCTGAGTCCCTCCCACCGGGGTGTACCCCTCCTTCCTCGCCTTCAGTGCATCTCTTCCCCAGTATGCTAGTTCTTCCTCCAGCCCCTTGGCCTCCAAAGCCACCCTTCACAGTACAGCCTTGCCTGTATTTGCCTTAGGACTCCCCTATTCTCAAAATTCTACGGATACTTTCTTCTTCCAATCCCCCCCCCCCCCGGGTCCCATCTTGTGGACATTCCAGTTGCTACTTATCGTTTCTTTTGCTTCTCCTGCTGCTCAGACTTCAGTTACTGGATGCCCTGGTCCAACTAAGTACAAAGAAACTAAACTAAAGCAAAACCACCTACTGAACCCCAACGCCTAAATGTCCAAGGCTAAAGGGGAAAAGAAGAGGAGGAAGCCTATGGCAATCCTTGAGGTCTGGAAGAGTAATTAGCCCTTAGGCAATGTCAAGGAAGGGGCCAGAAACCTATCAACAGGAATTACCCTCTGCTGGCCACGGACAAAAACACTCTCCATCTCCATCCGGTCACGGTCAAAGACGGTCCCATGCCTTTGGGGTCACTTCCTCCTAAGCTGGCTATAAGGAATCCTTTAGCAGAGGCAGATCTCCTGATGCTAAAGAGTTTAAGCTTTCAGAGCCACTTGGACGCGGCAACTGCTTTTCCCTAACCAGGCCCACTGTGTAAGCTTTGGGCATCAGCACACCTGGCCTGGCCCTGAGGAGGGAAAAGATGCTCTGACTTCCAGGGCTTAAGGCTCAATAGGAAGCCAGGCGGGCTCTACGCAGGCGGACGCTAGCCAGGGCTCCGTCAGTGCACCTGCCTCTACAGAGTGCATCCTGCTGCCGAGACCGGGCATCCTGAATTCAATCTTGGTTGAATTTTACTAGCTCTAGAATCTCCCTTAGATTCTTGATTCCAGGTCTTTGGGCCACACCCACCCCGGCCCGGCCTCAGCGTTTCTCTCTGCCTCCCCGTCAACCTCTGTCCAGGGGTGCTATTCCCCTGCTAGCTAACAGGGCTCCAATTTGGTTCTTCAAAGCTTCGCTCTAAACCTGCCAATTCAAAAGTCTCCTTTACCACTAAGTCAGGACGGGTCATCAACACAGACATCACTGTTCTCAGCCCTCCCTTTCCCCTACATCCACCAAGCCCGTGAGGGGTCACTACCGTCTTCTCAGAAGCCAGAAAGTGCTTTCCTGACTGAACTGACAGCTGCCTCCAAGTGTCCTCACCCTGGTCTTGCTGGTGTCCCCAGGAATCTCACACTTTCAGCTCCTCTATTCCCACAGAGGAAAACAAATGAAGGAATTCCGGGAAGAAGCCGCAGAGGGAGCTGAGACTGGACTAGATGTTGGGAGCAAAGGCGCTAATTTGGAAGGGAGTGCTGGGAAGTCTTTGGTGAGGTTTTAGACACCCCGGAGACAGCAGGACCAGGTTTCTGGGACCCAGAAGTGTGGTGCTTAGCAGGGACATTGAAGTGATTCCACAGAACCCGCCATGGGGGTATGCAGGGGTTGGTGTCTGGGATTCCCCTCCCGAGGTGCCACGCAGGCTACTGTCTGGGATTCCAGGTGAACGAGCGAGCGAGCCTCCCTCCCTGCGTCCCGGTCGCCCCAGCACTTACCCGGCAGACTTGGGAAAGTCTCTGAGAAGTGCTGAGGCGGGGGCGCTGGGGGCTCTGACACTTTCTCCCGGGTGGGCAGCAGCTCTTCGGCTTCCAGCCCGCCCTCCTGGCGTCGGCCGCCCGGCTCAGGGTTGTTTCGGGAGGCAGTGGCGGCGGCGGCGGCGGCAGCTGCGAGTTCCGGGGGTCCGTAGAAGGCGTCGGGCGGCTCCGCGAAGCTGGGCAGCGCGGTGGTCAGCGCCACCATCGAGGGCACGGCCTGGCCCAGCCCCGCGCAGAAGGTGTTGGTAAGGCGACCGGCAAAGGAGGCTAGCGGGGCGAGGGGCGGGAGGCCGGCGGGCAGCGGCGCGGGGGCCAGCGCCTGCGGCAGCACGAGCGGCCGGTAGGGCATGAACATGGGGTAGCCGGTGTAGAGCAAGTGGCCGGAGCGCGGCGGCGGTGGCCCGATCAGGGAGTCGATGGAGAAAGCAGTGCCCGGCCCCCCGCC